CTATGAATTTGAGGAGTCCGCTACTACAATGCCTTTATTTTTGAATTTGTCATAACCCCATAACCCTTTAGACAAAATTTTGATTGACGGAATTGTCTTGCTTGTACAGTTTTTATTCTTACATTAAGAAAAAAAAGTATTCTATGTTAAAAATTGAAATCTTTGTTTTTTCTTATAAATAAGTGTATATTTATGAAATCTAACATTGCCATAAAATATTTTTTTATAAACTGTTTTAATGTAACGTTTGATCGTCCAATTATTTCCGTTAAATTGAGTTTGTATACAAAACTAAAGGGAAATTTACAATTAAGAAAATGGAATAAAAGGCTCGTTAAAAAGGAAGACAAAAAGTCTACATCAAATCCCTTGATCACAGTGTTTTCAACAATACAAGATCCAATTATCCATTAAACAAAATAAACGATATAGCAGAAAGGCACGGTTTACTACAAAACAAACATGGAGCAAACGAAGTTGATACGTCTACCATTTCCTGTTATCGTTTAAAGTTATTAGGAAAGCAAGCGTTGCATAAAGTCTAGAACATTAGGACCAATTTGAAACTTAGACATTGTGATTGCTATGTAGTTAATCCACTCGTATAAACTTCGGGACTAGAATGCTGCTAGTTACCCTCGTATAATGAACGGAGATCGCCATATTAAAATTTTTTTTTTCAGCTGTTTCCGTTATGCCTTTTTTGTCTATAGTAAAAGAAATATGTCAAAGCTGCAATAATCCATGTGGTTACTGCATAATTTATATTCTACATATACTATATAAAACAACCAATTAGTATTCGTTAAATATTGTTTTTTGAGTGGAATAAATTTTTTTGAAATAAAAACTTTCGTCGTGAGAATTTTCTAATTACACAGCGTCAAAATCACTACGTTATTCTATCCAATCAAAATTAATCTTCAGACGGAATTATCTGCTCTTGCCAATTTACCAGGCAAGATGTCAGCCTTCCACGACCGAGTCAATATTCAACTCACGGAAACTAACGAACATTTGGCGAAGGTTGAGTCGAATGGATGTTAATCGCACTGTGAAATTACATGCTCAATTTATGACAAAATGATAGGATATATACTAATGGAAAACAAACACGTAACAATGCACAAGTTAAAGGATCAAAAATATTGAAAATTGTTATTACATCAGAATTAACGCTTATTGATCTGTTATCTTAAAGCGAATCGCAGACAAATTCTCTCGAACACAATCGAGGAATATCATATGCATATTTTGCTCAACAACTAAATATTTTCAATGCTAAAATCATGCTTAATATCAAAATATCAAATATATTGGAAGTATATTTGAAACAGTAAGCCAACAATGAGAGTTAAATGTATTGGTAACAAATTTAATAGCGGTAGAAAATTACAAAATTAATACCCGTAGATAATTGAATAATAATGGCACAAATACTAGCGTAATTTTATTTCCTTTCATAGCAAATTGATCATATTATAGGAAACAACCATTGGGGATTTCAAATTATTACATTTCCATCGATTTTTTACACTTACTGTGTTTCATTAGTCTTGTTTCTTATTTTTAACTGAGGAATTAGGCTTTTCGAAATTAATCTCCGAAAGAAAAATGCATTATAGTGCCATAGGTGACGCAGTAATTTTTTGACTTAGTTTTTTGTCTAATTAGCTGCCAGGTTTCTTCTTAACTTATTTTAAAATCATGCCTTGACGTTCCTAGCAGCAAGTTTGTAAAATTGCTAACTTTTCGACCTTTTGTGTATATTCATACAGTTATTGAAACTTGACTTTGATTCTAATATTCCCCATTTTCACAATGGCAAGCTATTACAACTTCGCCTTATACCTTGATAACAGTAGCCACCGTTCTTTTTTCGAGGAACGCAGCGATTTGATTAGATTGTACGCCAGTGAACACAGCCAATCATAGCCCTCGACATTATAGCTTATTGTTTACAGACGTTCTGTCTGATTGACTGTATTCACTTATGAACAATCCAACCAAATCGTTGCATTTACAAACTTCCGTGATATACGAGTTGGGGTTCAAACACAGTGCGGTAACAATTCGCTTCATGTATTTTCATCTGTATCGATAATCTAGTACCGTTCGACCTTGCCTTTTCGTGGCTTTAGAGAGATTATATAAGACAAATTTAATTCCAGAACACGTTCGAGCACTTTGATAGCCAATCAAATTTATTGAAATTACTAGCGAATTATAGTCTTAAGTTATGATGATTTTGACAGTAGAGCTCAGAGAAATGAGACACGATGTCATAATGCCTGTTTTAGACAAGTTATTTACTCGCAATTTGACATTTAAAACAGATCTAGTGGATATAGAGCCAGATTTGTAGAGGACGCCAGAAAAGCTGGATTTGATCAAATAAAACGTAATAGATATGATTAGACTGTCAACTCTTTAGATTAGTCTGATATTTATTACTATAGCAGGCTAATAAACTGTTCTTTTTTTTATAGATTGTATTTCAAAACATTCGACCGGCGTTGTGATTAATTCGTAACACGTTTTATGTGGTCAAGGAAAGACACTGATTATCCAAGAAAAATTGTATGGATTGTGGATTGTATTTCAAAACATAAAACTGGCGTTGGAGATTATCTTCAGTAAGTTACATATGTAAGGGTTGTATGTGGTATTGTATGGTGTAAATGGTGATAAGACGCACCTATTAAGATGACTTTAAGGCTATTAGTATGAAGATATTGATTCTCTAGAAATGGAGGTAAAATGAGTGATGATTGAAGTTCATATTCCCCCATTTATCATTTGATTATTTACTGTATTTGCCTCCATAGTATTATGTATTGACTTTATATAAGAAATTGAATGGATTGCCCATTAGTTTGTTTCGGGAGCATGTTAACAACATGTCCAGTGGGATTTTTAAGGGGGGACATGGTGCCCCTAGGGCCTTGAAAAATTTATTCTACTTCCACGTCCAAATAATGTTAGATGTATTCTCTAGCTCCATAGATTGGAAAAGTTTTCAGGGAGAGGTACTCGTGACTCCCCACCATGACTAGTGCCCCCTTTAAGCCTCAAAAGGGCGCCAAGGGATGCGCAGATGCAATACATCCAGAGGGGCAAGTAATATATCCAGAGGGGCAATGGTATATGATGTTTAGTTGCAGTAATGGGTTTGATCGGTTTTTTTTCGGGGAGTGGGCATCTACACACTGCCCCCCCCCCC